TCATTGTAATTGTTGTGTGCTTTCAAGTCATTTCTGACTTATGGGGACCCCATGGGGTTGCCTTGGATAGATTTTTTTCAGAGAGGTTTTGCCATTGCCTTTCCTCTGAGCTTGAAATAGTGTGATTTGCCCAAGATGAACCATTGCTGAGGAGGGATTTGAACCCTGGTCTCTAGAGTCAGAGTCTAATGTTCAAACCACTACACCATGCTGGCTTATCAAAATAACACAATGATGGGTAAATTTTGCTCCCTGCTTCTGATTCAGTTTCAGGGGTGGGTGGTGAATGACATTATTTTATTTATTGAATTTTGATGCCACCTTTCTCCCACTGAGGGAGTTGAGACAGATTCACTAGATGCTTTCTTGAATGTTGTTATTCAAAGCCATGCTTTCTAATATAGGGGAGTGGCTGCTATGAGCAGGAAAAGAGTGCACTCTTACTCAGGGACTCCCATTACCTTTTTGGCAGATGACATTCTGCCTTCCATTGGCAGGGTCTCATGGTGTGTGTGGCAGAGATTCAGTGTCAGTCTCCTGCACAGTGACCAACTCAAACCACAGGAGCCAGTTGCATGTCATAAAAGTGGACACATCTACATTATCATGGTTCCCATATATCAGACTTTTTGAGGGTCATGTTTGACTTTTGTGTACTCATGCCACACTCATGTGTCAATTTTATAAAAGGTGAATATTTTCTCACCCCAGATAGTCTGACATTCTTATCAAGAATCAGTGTGCCGATTAGTTTCTATTTGCCTGTATTGGGATGAACACAATACAATAAACATGTACATTTTACAAATGTAGATGTTTCCATGTAAACCCAAGGCTGATCCAAAACCTTTTGCAGCCTCAGGCAGCAAATGAGCTCTATTGAATGACAAGCCAGCTAAGTTGTTTCACCACATTAGGCACAATCTCACAAGGACATTTCCCACCCCTTTAGTAAATAAAAACACTATAAGAATACTAATAGGAATACTAATCAAACCCAGCTAAATCTTATTTCAGAGCCTACTTTGGGGCAATACGGGCAACGAAGAGAAAATTCTTCTCCACCTCTCTTCTGTCTGCAAGAAGCTGGCTCTTACTTATTATCTTAACTATTATCTAAAGAGCAGTAAGCAAGAGCACCTTTTATACATGCATGCATGGGAACTGGCTCATTTTCTTCTCTGGAAGAAGTTAACCTCCTTTCTTACAAAGTACTCCCTGGCTAACTCCCATGACTAGCACCTGAAAAATAGATTTAAAGGCTAACATTATGTTGGTGTCTTATACCTGCATAAGTGCCTCTAGTTTATTTATGTATTTATTGAATTTATATCCTGCCTTTCTCCCAAAAATGGGATTATAGAAGCAAGTAGACATTTTTGTCCCAAGCATAATAACCACATTCAGTTTAAGTTTATGAAAACAGAGTTACTAAAGTGGAGGCACTGTGCATAATTGCACACTGAGTGGTGCGTGTTGTGCACTGCATATTGTTGTACATTGGTTATCTGGTTTTGCCTAGCACATAAATACACAATCCACGGAAATCTTTAGTAAAAGGCGAAAGATTTATACGATCTGAAGAGAAACCAGAGTATAAATACACAATCAGCACATAAATACACAATGCAGTGGAAGAGTAATAAATTTTCATGAAGTCTCCCTGTTATAATTAGTCTTGAGTGAGAAGATCCCATTGTTGTTGTTGTTGTGTGCCTTAAAGTTATTTCTGGCTTATGGCAATCTTAAGGTAATAATAAATAATAATAATATTTATTTGATACCCCGCCCCTCTGAACGCAATCGA